ACCTGATTGTCCTTGTTGAATTATTGACCTAATCAATGTGAGTAGGACATGGATCAAACTTCACCCTGCTTTGACAGGATCGATCTGCTTGTATTGTTATCATTGTTATCCACCCAACCACCGTGTACAATACCGTATACGACTGTAGACAGGCCCAGGTATCTTTTGCAAGAGGGAATGAAATCATTAGATTGTTAAATTTGTGTGTAATATAATTAGACTTTTCTTTTGTATCATTTCAGGCTGTCAGCATAAACCATGAAATTCACGATCTTTCAACTTTGTTTTTTTTTTCATCAAAATTTTATTCTAATAAGGGCCCCTATTTCTAATTTGGAGAGCGCCCTGGGCACTTATTACGTCGGATACGGTATATTTCAGTATTGTAACAATACCATGGTGAGGGACACAAGAATAGCTATCCCACAATGTGTCCATGTTGAGATGGAACCTGGGTCACATGCCAAGCTATCACGATTACCACTGTTTTCAAGTCTTGTATTGATTCACAACCTTATTTTTTTATATACACCGGGGGGAAAGTTAAGCACCAGTCCTTTTATCTGCATATATTTTGAACCTCCATGGTTTTTAAAAAAAATATTGATGATGCTGACGTTGAACCACTGATATCTGATGCAACCTATCAAACAAGTTATCACATCTATTCATCTCTACAAATTAGATAAGGTATTTTTCACCCTATTTTATTTGTATCTGCTTTGTCTTAGGTTCAACCATTTAATGTTCTTGGGGCAGGTGCTGTGATTTTTGTTTGATAGAATGCAATATATTTTGTATAATAGTGTAGAGCAACACATTTTACAACATCCAGCTAGTCCAGTTAACTAGTTCCTTTCTTTGTAAAACCAGATATGCCTTGGGACAAATTATATTTTTCAGGGATTTTGGGGAATATCAAAAGGAATATGACATGGTTGGCCACTTATAAATCAAAACACAGGCAATACCACTGTTTGCCGACTGGGATAGAATTCCTACCGCAAACAAGGATATCTACCGATGAAGTGAAGGCACTGGAAGTGTTCTAATAGGCAGTTGTCCCAAGCTGGGAGTGTGGCAGGGCCTACATTCACTATTTGGTCTTTGGTGTTGAGATCTAACAATGAAATGTGATTTCGTAGAACAAATTATTTTGTAAACAAGAGTTCTATTTTAATACAGGTATGTAACCTGACACATGTATTTTATCATTCCTATAAAGTGTCTTCACTGCTGGTGTAAATAGAAGCCTCAATACAATAATAACATGGCAACTGCATTGTTTGTAGTTTCTTAAAATTTTAAAATTCACTTTTATTATTAAATTTGATGTTTCCTGTCTTAATTTTGTTAAGATTGTTTTTTCTAGCACATCTATAGTTGTTCCAGAGAACTGTTGTTCGAGCATACAGTGGTTGTTTGTTGTTTAGTATCGCACTCAGCAATATTCAAGCTATGGCGGCTGGTAAACATCAAGTCTGGACCAGACAATCCAGAGATTGATATTATAATGGTGTGTCACAATGACACACAATCAATCGAGATTCCAAGACCTGATCCATTAAGTCACCTACAACTGGGATGGCCTCTGTTGTCTATTGGTCAGGTGTCTGCAGGCCTCATCATACAATAAGACGTTAAAAGATGGTACTTCTTGTTACCCTGTCTGGCGCTCAGCATTAAGGGGATGAAACCTGGACTGGTCAGCTCGAAGTCAGTATCCTGTGTCTGAGTGGGGTATTCATGTATTCACGGTATCTCACAGGGCTAGCACTATAAAAATTGGCATTAGTCCGGACTAGTACAAGCAGCCTCGCACACACACACACACACAACACACACACACAACACACACACACACACTGCAACAATCTTGAATGTGATGTCATCATTTCTGGTGTGAGTGACCCTAACTCTGTGTGGGATTGTCTTTTAACACCGCACTCAGCAATTTTACATGACCCTGGTCTGTAAATAATGCTTGGGTCAGACAATCCAGTGATCGATATTGAGAGCAAGGATCCATGTTGTTGAGTTGTCAAAAATAGTCAACCAAGTCACAGAGTGACCACCTGATCCATTTGGTGGCCATAATACAACCAGCACAAATTACTGGGGACCTACCGGTATTCTAACCAGAATCCCCACAAGGAGACCAGCAAAGGTTGTTGGCAACCTATTCTACCCAAACTCCCCACAAGGAGACCAGTACAGGTTGGTGGGGACCTATTCTATCCAGAATCCTCACAAGGAGACAAGCATTGGTTGCTGCTGACCTATTTTAACCAAGAATGAAACTAAAGAGACCAGCAAAGGTTGCTGGGAACCTATTCTACCCAGAATCCCCACAAGGAGACCAGCACAGGTTGCTGGCAACCTATTCTACCCAGAATCCCCACAAGGAGACCAGCACAGGTTGCTGGGGATAAAGATCTGCAAGGCAACATAAGCAGAAAAAGCTACTTTGGGTGATTACACAGACTGTTGTTATACTATTGTGTTGTATTATAAATTCATGCATAATTGTACATTTTGTATGCAAGCAACTCAAAATTATATGGCTAATGCTGATTTATCATCGTTATCTTAATAGTATAGTCATCAATTCTTACAAGATACTTGACGAGTTGAAAGTTACATGTTCTCACATACACCCAAGAAGACAATAACACAAAAAATGTTTAATCATTTTATTTACAAAGAATACTTTTATCAGTTTCAGTGCATTCATAAGCTTATTTTTACAATTAACATTTTCAGAGGGATAAAATCGGCACTGTTATTTTGGAATTTCTTACAAAGGATTACAGGAATGGTTGTACAGCACTGAAAGTGTTAAAAGAAGATGTTATGATACAGTAAGACTGGACATGGTGAAATGGTATATTTACATACACACTGGTCACAAAATGAATTCAACAGCTAGTCCATATTAGGGGCTACACTTAACAACATATCTGTCCTGAGCATGGATGAGGAAATTCAAAGTGAAGTTTCCTTATTTTCAAGAGAATGGAGGTAAGCAATCTTTCATGGCCCAAGAGACAGAGTTCTATTGGTGAACTTCCTTTTATGTTAACTTATAAGGAGCTTAGCCTTTGAATACAATTGATCGAATAAAAGCAGAATTTCTATGAATGAACATACAAAGTACATATGGCACATGTTCTGTCTGCAGCAAGAAGTGAAAGTTGGGTTTAGCACTGTTCTTAACTCTATTTAAGTCATATCACAGCATATCTCAAAATGGAAGAAAAGCCTATAGTGATGCAAGTCGTAGACATTCACCACTTTCTTGAAACCAATGACTAGGGGTATGATTCTGACAAACCCAAAAACATAATAATAATTGGGGATTCAAACCCGACAACCAGCGGATCCTGGCTCAGGCAAGGAATGCTACTCTGCATCAGAGAGTACAGTACTTTTGGCCACTGGGCGCCATCTAATACAGAAATCGATGTAACAATTGACAGATACAGAATTAATGGGTTACACTTTGTGAATTATCAGTTACCATGGTTACAGGTCTCTGTCACAATAACTGAAATGTGAGTCACTGCGTTACTCCTAACATCACAATGTTACAGCTAACAGTTACAGAGACAGGCATCTGTTACAGATGGATGACTGGCGTAACCAACACACAATCAACAAATGCAGAGACAAAGTGACAGTAGAACTGCATCCACAGTGTTAGAAATTGGCACTAGTCCTGTAGTCCTTGCCAATCTGCCCAATAGCAAAGGCATCATAAGGACAAGTAGAAATTTGCCAATTTGTAAGTGTTTTGCTGTATGTTATCATTATAAGGAAAGTGTTAGTTTCTACTGCTGATCCAACTATGATGCTTAGATAGCTGGGTCTCTGATGAACTCAATTTGTCACTTTTAACTCATCCTGATGTGTAGTGACCTACCGTATTCGACATAATGAGCGCCCAGGACGCTCTCAAAATTAGAAATAGGGGGCTATTATTAGAATATTATTTTGGTGAAAAAAAAAGAGTTGAAAGATTGTAAATTTCGTGGTTTATGCTGACAGCCTGAAATGTTTATATACAACAATTGAAATATATTTTTCCAGAATTTAATTGCCCATAATTAAGGGTGCATATAACACACGGGTGCGTCTTATACATAATTAAATAAGTCTTGTGTACATTGATCAATTGGAAGGAGTGCTAATTGGGATTAATCACTTGCCAATATATTAGCAAATATCGCCTAGGGCGCTTATTACGTCGAATACGGAATATCTCCCGAGCAGATTCAAGAGTATTCATGGTGTTAAATATTGTACAAATATGAACAAATCTACAATCAACATGCAAATCACATTCAAAAACATGGAATACTTGACATACATCTATAACTTGCAGTATATAAGGCCTCCTCCAAGCTTATAGGTTATATCCACAGGGTTATCTGTATAAAATAAGATAAATAGAAAACTTAAAATTAGCATTGTACAGTGGCATATGGTACAACATGTGTGTGATCCATCCACACTTGTCACAAGCAGTATTCCCGCACACTTGCAATGGAAACCTTCATCCACAGAGCATTACTGATATAACGTGAGGGCTTTACATCTGATTAACATACTGGAGTCCTGTGTTCATATACTTGTATCTATGTATAGAAGGTACCATTGCAGTCATATGTGGACATGCAGCCCAATCACAAGTGGGTTTGATCAGACCAATCTTTATAATCTTAATTATTCTTTCCTCATTTATGCCATAAAATTCAAGGGCCACCGCCCCTTCTGAAAGTCAGCCGATCCTAGAAATAAATAAAACATAAAAATAGTTAAATTTTTTGTCTATATTGTTTATACGGACCCTAAATAAAATATCTTATATATAAAATCCATGTCTACATCACTATCCGTGATTCATGAGGCCAGCTGCAGTTTTAACTCCATGACCGAATGACTTTCAAATAATAAATAAATAAATAACTTTGCATTTTTATTTTGACCGGCCTTGTGTGGACATATTTTCAACGTAGCATCACCTGTCCTGACATTATTGGAAATGATTTAACTGAAGGAAATTGGTCTGATCAAACGTAGTTGAGAAAGTTACTGTAATGTCCCAAAACATTGTCCTCATTTTCAAACTCAGAGTTCTTCTATTTCAACCTTTTCCACTGGACAGCAATATGCCAAGTCAAAAACTGACTAGCCCAAATATACTCCTCAAAAGACAACAGTAACAAAGCCATCCATACAGAGTTGAGAGTTATCTCCCTTCGGTGACTATATTCTCTACACATGATGGGAACTCCATAAGTTCAAGCAGATGATCATATCTCCTGGGATATATCCAGTGTAGATGATATACCTTACTGTTTTCCACCAGAATTCTCAACACTTCAGCTTGTCCAGTGGAACTAGTATAAAACAGAATAACATCAAGCTAAAATATCGAAGAATTCCAGCACTGCAAGACAACAAAATGCTGTGGATAAGCAGCACAAATTATACTGTAAACAATTGTGTGTGGTTATCACAAACTGAATAACTTCAGTACATACACACATACTAGGGCTGGGACGAGTCCAAATTTACTACCCAGGTACTCACCCCACTATTACCCGACCCTACCCGGGTACCTGCTGTAGGTCCCAAGAGATAGGTACAAAATGTCCGATTGGGAAACGTTTGACCGTACTCCTGTCAAAATGTATTTAGATACAGGTATAAAATGATTTGGTCATGCATACACTGAAGTTGACTGTAGTTTTATCTTTATGCAAACATATATAATCAGAAGGAATGTGTGCATGGAAAGAAATGTGATCATTTGTCACTTATAGTGTAACCATAGAGTTCTAGATAATTTTTGTCATTAAACAATATAATCATATGACTAACCATGGGTCCTACTCGGTACCCATCTGACCCAAGTACCCGAGTTACCCGTCCCAGCCCTAACACATACCTGGTACAACAGATGAGTGAGAAATCGCTAACTTAAGACGAAATACAACATGTACAAAACAGGAGTTGGTGAAGCTGAAATACAAAATCACTTCCAAATTAGATGCTTGAAAACAAATTAACAATCAAAATACACTAATTCTGGAAGCAGCAATTAATTCATAATAAATAACATCAAACTACTTTAACTACTTCAGTTTCTTTGAAGGGGATGTACATTGTTTTACTTCTCAAACTGATTCTTACGTTTGTAACCCCACCTTATACCTCTGTCAAGCACAGAACTGTCAAAAGCACTTGTGGATGTATAAGTTCGAAGTAAATAATGAACAATAAGAAACACTAATAGATTGACAACTTCCACTGGTGATATATGTCCCTCAAAGCTTCTCGAGGCAGAGGTAACGTGGACAAACTCTTATCGTTAACTTCAACTCTGTGGCAACAGAAACCTCCTCTCCCTGCACACTTGAGTTTCTGACTGATGTGAATAGATATGGCCAACATGGTCAAGTTACCCATTCCATGTGAAAGTGATGGACCAGATATCAAATATATAGGACCAGGGGACCCATACTGATTTAAGTGGGCATGTTATACATCACTTTAAGCACTATTACAGCCATTGAGACTGGGAACATCGAGTAGGTCTTCACATGTATATAGTAACCATCTGGGAATTGAACCCAGGTCCATGGCGTGAGGAGTCAACCCTTTAACCATCAAGCTACTCAACTGTTCAAATATTGCTCAGGAACTAACAGATTAACGCTAGGTCTCTGAAAATATATAATTTTGATAGAAACAAACTGCCTTTGAATTGAAAAGGAGCCCCAGTGAGATGGGAGATTCAGGCATGAACCCGAGGAAAATCTACACTTGCTTCATTAAGGTAAGCATTACAGTAAGGGCTGGGTGGAAGGGAAAATACAAAGGTTCAGGGACTGTGAGACAGACTAAGGAACCGAGTCCTATGCTAGACAGGGCTCCTCAATCACCTGGAGCCCTGGCTATCTGTCACTAATGAAGGACATTCCATGGGTAGAGATTGTTGCAGATGTTTCAGAAGTCTTCTGTGTCATCGAAGGGGCAGTGAAAGCCATCATGGGGGAAACTGGCATCTTCTGTTTTAAAGCAGTCTTGCTTGGGGCAGGCAGTTTCTTGACCTCTGGCCGTAATCAGGGAGGACTTAATGGTACCATGGAATGTTCTATTTTGACAATTGAACCTGAAAGACTTCGCCTACAATAAATACATTCAAATAATTGCTGAAAGAAGTCATCGTGGTTACAATAAACACAACATGAAGAACAAATAATGGTACTAATGACTGAAACATCCTACAAATCAACACACAAAGAAAAATATCAAACATTGTTTGCCTAGAGCATGCAGTACATGGAAGAGTGTCTGTGAAGAGTGGTTAGAACAGTCACATTACAGTCACACATTCATACAGTGTTAAGCAGAGGTACAGATGGTTTAAACTGGCTTCATGACTGAACTCTTTCCTATGTGAGCGAGTCACTGTGGCAGGAGCTGAAACACTGCTGCAGTCACAGAAATATCAACTCAGCCATGCTTCAATGATGAAACAATAGCTCAGCAATGCTTTAACTATAACAGCAATGCTTCAATAATGCTGCAGCATTACCTCAGCAATGCTTCAATATGCTGAAACATTAATTAGGCAATGCTGAAACATTAAATCAGCTCAGCAGTGCTTCAAATTCAACCGTCCTGCAGTAAGCCTGCTTCAGCAGAGCTTCAACTGATAATCACAACTATCTCACTTCCCTGTGGTAGGGTGAGACTTGACATACTTCCCTCCACGGGCTAACCAATCACAAGCATTCTTATATCCGTTCAGTGTATTTGGCTGTTGATTGGCTTAAGAGACAAGGCACCAGATTGGTTGGGTGGGTGTCTCATTCCAACTTTCACATCATTACTATTAACACATAGAATAATGTATATACGTTCTTATTTTCAAATAACTAAAAAACTATAAGTTCAGTTTTGTAACACCAAGAAAAGTACATCAAGGTCAAACTGCACACCACCCGAAGTCCACGACCTTGTTATCGGGGTGAGGTTTAGATGCCCCACTTCCAGCTTAATACCAGGGACCAATTCGAATGTGACTTCACATTAACCCTGAAGCATTACTCAACTCACAAGAAACATCTTCAATAACAAGACTGTCCTGCTACTCTGCGTTTATCCTCAACTTCATCCCACTTGCTGAAATCATCACCTGACTCAACAAGCAATCTGCCAGCATTGATCTAATCACAGCATTGTAATATCATCCGTTAATCACTGATCACCACCACATCACCATAAGTCTCTACCTCTGATGATATGATGGACTCTTCCAATTCATTATCATTGACTGGTAAATACAGTTTCCAGGGGGTCAGGTTGTCTTTTCAAACCACTTGGTTCAGTTCTCTCTTTTTCTCCTTGTTCTTGTCGTTACTGACAACATTTACTTCCTCTTCGCTTGAATATCCGTAATTAGTGTTTATATTGTGTGAATTCTCATTTTCAACAACAACCTCTACTGACTCCTGTACAACTCCCCCGACGGCCCCCTCTTCTGAGTTCACAGACTCATCATCGTCTTCAACCTCGACCGACCTTGACCCCTGACCTGGCATGACTTCTCCCCTCACAGCTTCTGGGAGTCCTGAAAACAATGAGCACAGCACTGAGTGACATCAACTCTGCTCCGCTATAAAGATCTTAACTTAAACGTTGGATTTATTTTCATGAAGCAAATTGTAAGGCACCGTCAATACTTCACAGGCTTATATACACTACGTCCTCCATGAACACATATGGCGATTAAATCGGGACATGTCTAAGTTTGGCAAGCTAATGAAATGAGGCTGTTTTTAACAGATGGAGTCAAATGAGCTCCTCCCTGTGGATAAACTTTGTCAAATGAGAAAGACGGCTGTGTGTACATGTAAGCTGAGCACCCATTGGACAGAGCACTCGCTGGCTGCCTTCTCACACGCACCAGGTCGTCAATTGATTTGGTCGTAAAAAATAGCGACTGCACCACATTTCTGATGTATGTATTCGCAGGTGAAGGAGGAACATAACAAATACAAACGCGTGATTACTTATGATGATACAAAGATTCCGCAATATTCCTGCAAAATCTGACGACTAGGGCTGGGATGAGTCCAAATTTACTATCCGGGTACCTACCCCCCTATTACCCGACCCTACCTGGGTACCCAAATCAAGGGGATGTAAGTCTAGTTCCAAGATAATGTAATATCCACCATTCTGATATATTTCAGACCTATCACAATAAACATGAATGAATGATATCCTAAGGATGTAGTATTCAAAATTAAGATGGGTCCTCAGGTCCTTGAGACTTGCTGATATAGTACTTGAATCTAGATTCAGCCTCTAACATAAGTGTTATGGACCCCAAATGATTATGTACCTGACTTCAATTTTGTAATAATGTCTTGTACTCCATAGGTCAATCTCATTGAAATCAGATCTTAATTCTCGCTGTCGCTAAACAAAGATCTGAGGACATCCCATTACAGATCACGTCAGACCGACCTTGCGCGAATTTTGACCGACCAATGGAAGAACTGACAAGAAGTCGACATTTGCCAATCAGAAGGCAGATTTCTCGCGCTTTACGGCACTAATTTCAAATTGGCAACTACACTTTGAAACCTATTTAGAAAAATTCGCGATCACAAATTTGAAACCTGAAAAAAAGAACATTCTGGAATGGCAAATATATGGTCTATATTGTATGGATTCAGTCGTTAAACCCATAACTATCGTTCGGAATACCCCGTGTAAAAGTTTTCGAGGTTGCATGATTAGGTTGCATCACTTTCCGACTGTCACTTTCATGATCTAGTAAGCGACGATCTGATTGGTTGGATGAAAGGTTGTTCTGACGTGACCCCTAATGGGATGTCCTCAGATCTTTGTTTAGCGGTAGCGAGAAATAAGATCTGATTTTAATGAGATTGTCCACAGGTAGGAAACTATCAGTACTCTTATGGGTACCTCTACCTCGAGCTTTTGGTCTCAGTAATTTAGGATTTCAGGTTTCAGGTTTCTAAAGCTGCAAATGTTAAGTGAAAAGAAAACATTTATTTTTTGTTTGTTTGTTGTTTAACGCCACATTCGGTAATATTCCAGCCATATGACGGTGGTTTGTAAATAATCGAGTCTGGACAAGACTATACAATGACATTTATCGACTAAGTCAGCAAGCCTGACCACCCGATCTCACTAGTCGCCTCTTACGACAAGCAATTCAGAAGATTCCACTCCTGAATCAAGACTTGGAGGGAGCATATATTTTCTGTGTTCACTTGTCCAATGTTACCTTATTACCACAATTACCGGTTACGGGAACAGAAAATAAAGACATCCTGAGAATATGTAGTGTCAAACAATAGACTACATATGAATGAAACACACCTGAAGTGTCGAAGGTCGACCTGCGACTGGGACTACTTCTGGTTTGACCTCCCAGGAGGGGGGTGGCCTCCGTAGGTGTAGTGGAGGTGCTGTTCTCCTCGTCAGACTCTGAGTCGGACTCGGCATCCTGGCCTGGTATCACCCGTCGCTTGCACACCGGGCAAGTCTTCTTGTTCTTCAGCAACCAGGGGTCGATACACTTCACATGGTAGGCTGAAACACCAGGCATGGAGGACTCATCTTTGTCCCTACTTTACAAACCAGTCTGAATTAGTGAGTTGAGGTTAGCACCACTTGAAACAGCATTACAGCTACCATATAATATGGGATGAAAGCCTGAAGGCATGCAGATTGTTAGACTAACATTTAGTCTCTGAAATGAACATATTGTACATAAAAAAACAGTTGTTCAGTTATCTTAATAAAAATATAATAAAAAGGAGCCCAGTGACTCTCTTCATTTTCAGATACGTTGTACTGCAGTGATCTAGACTTGCCAAACATTATAGACTTGCATGGGCTATTTTTGATATATATTTGTATCAGGGTCTGTAAGACAGACTAGCAGATTGTAGGCATTTACCACTATGGTGAAAATCAGGGTCAGTACTGCTTTGAACAGTAATTCAGTTATATGATGGTGTTTCAGCTTAATATGGGAAGAACACCTGATTTGATGCAGGTCATGGTTTACCACTTTAGTTTCCTGATAATGGGTATAGTTCCAGCAACCAAGGATCAAAATCAGGACAAATCTTGGATTCAAACCCATCAGGCAATCCTGACATTACTAAGGGACACAACTCTGCAGTGTGAATTATGCCGTCTTAGACCAACGGGTTACTATGCCTATAACAGGCTTCCTTTTCATTGGTTAGATGGTTGTCAGTATGATTTGATTATCATGTGATTATCCTTACCATGTGAGCACGGCAATACCCTCATCTTCTCGCCTTCCTCATAGTCATCCAGACATATAGCACACACGTCGTAGTAGTCACCTTCAACACAGATTGTACAGGGCATGAACAACAACTGCACTACAACTAGGACTGGGACGAGTCCAAGTTTACTACCCAGGTACCCACTGTAGGTCTCAGATGTCTCAAATTGTCAGATTGGGAACATTTTTAGCATAGCCCTGGCAAAATGTGTTTAGATACGCATATTAAACAATCTGGTCATTCATACACTGAAGTTGTATTAAGTTATACCTTTATTCAACCATATGAAAAATCAGAAGGAATGGGTGCATAGTCAGAAAGAAATGCGAACATTAGTGACTTGTAGTGTAACCAGAGAGTTCTAGATATTTTTGTCATTAAACAATATATCACATGACTAACTACTGGTCTGGGTAGTCCTGTGGGTACCCGGGTCCTACTTAGTACCCACCCGACCCGGGCCCCCGAGTTACCCGTCCCAGCCCTAACTACAACATTCACAGATTGTAAAGGGCCTGACCAACACCTGCCCTACAACATTCACAGATTGTAAAGGGCCTGACCAACACCAGCCCTACAACATTCACAGAATGTAAAGGGCCTGACCAACACCTGCTCTACAACATTCACAGATTGTAAAGGGCCTGCCTAACACCTGCCCTATAACATTCACAGATTGTAAAGGGCCTGACCAACACCTGCCCTACAACATTCACAGATTGTAAAGGGCCTGACCAACACCTGCCCTACAACATTCACAGATTGTAAAGGGCCTGCCCAACAACATTCACACATTGTAAAGGGCCTGCCCAACACCTGCCCTACAACATTCACAGATTGTAAAGGGCCTGACCAACACCTGCTCTACAACATTCACAGATTGTAAAGGGCCTGCCCAACACCTGCCCTACAACATTCACAGATTGTAAAGGGCCTGCCCAACACCTGCCCTACAACATTCACAGATTGTAAAGGGCCTGCCCAACACCTGCCCTACAACATTCACAGATTGTAAAGGGCCTGACCAACACCTGCCCTACAACATTCACAGATTGTAAAGGGCCTGACCAACATCTGCCCTACAACATTCACAGATTGTAAAGGGCCTGCCCAACAACATTCACAGATTGTAAAGGGCCATGATTGTCCAATTGTCCAAGATGACCAGGGAGTACATTAAGAACATTTCTCCATGTCGGTCAATTCCTTTGATATTTACAGTGCTTACCTTTCTTGAACTTCTTAATTGGTATCTTTTTAAGGTGTCTTTTCGATAACCTTGACCTTCTCTGGCGTCTGATGTCACGACACCATTTAGCAACCTGAAAGGGAACGGCTGCTGTTAGAGGTTTGCAATGGAAACATCTCAGAGTCTTCAATACTTTTTTGACATTAGTTCCAAGGCCTACTTAAGTTTCTTTCACCCATGCTTATCATGAACACATTCCATCGATACTTTGTGAGATTTATAACTTCAGAGGATCACATAGCTATTCTCCCACATCAGCAAACAATGATTAACATCATCGCTAAAGGTGAGTGAGTGAGTGAGTGAGTGAGTGAGTGAGTGAGTGAGTGTGAAATATGAGTATTTCCTGCTGTTTTCTAATGGTAATTATCCTGATTATGGTAAGACAGTTCATTTTAGCAGGTGCCACCTGTAATAACTAATTCCTGATCATTTTCAATTATGATCTATACCTATTTGCCATCACAGCTCCGATTCAGAAGTTATGTCACGAGCTCCGACTCTCTTATGATATCATCACTAACTTTGCACTAAACTCCTGCTCCTGAGTTTGAAATCATGAGTCTGGATAGATTTACACTCTAAATCACAGCCTCAACTAGCTAGCCCTTGATATGTTACATCACATGATGTTGAGTTGGAGAAGAATTATCATGCGTGTTAAGACAGGGGGAGGGAAGTCATTATGCTAACGGACAGATTTTAGACAACACACTAAAGTTGAAAACTGATGCACTCCTTCCTTCAAGAACAGTGTGATTTGATTGGACATCTATCTTTAACATCATGCCATGTGAACACGACAAAGAAAAGGTCATATATGAGGAAAGGGAATTTGTTACACCACAACTGAGGTTATATTTGAGGATGCAGTAACGCTTGCTAAGGGCTCAGTCACACATTCAGGGTTTTTACTGCCGTCCTTGATAGGACCATTCCCGATTAAAATTTGTCACAAGTCTGATCAAGATCCTGTGATTCGTGGCAGGATATTCACAAACAAACAGATATGTTCAGGAAGTGTCCAGGCTTCCCGATTCTCCCATTCTCAATCCGAATCAGATCCGATTTGTATTTTCCGCATGGTAGAAAACGACCTAATCTGTCTCCCGAATGCCATCCGACAGAGATCAGATTGTGACGGTTCGCATTCGGAAAGATCTGGACGCAATCTGGACTCAATCTACAAAATGGCAATGACCAATTCATGCCCGTTCATCAGGACAGTGTCCTGATCCACAGGACACCGTCCAGACAACACAGGACATTGTAACGATTTTTATCCGATGCAGCAGAACCAGTCATTGCATAGTCACGATTGTAATCTGACTAGACAAAATCGGCTGAGTTTCCCGAATGTTACAGGACGCACCATACAGTCAGGGGTGCTTGGCCGACCTATCTGGACCTTTCCCAAACCGTAGGACTCTGTTACGAACATATACGACTGCGTTCAGACATTGACAGGACATTCCAGATCATTGAGGATAGTAATCTGACTTTTTCACTTTTCGTGTCGTAGCGCTATCTGATGTCAAACGGGAGCCATAATCGGCGCTGTGTGAACCTGCCCTAAATCAAAGTTAACCTCATACACTTGACAAACTGATACCTACCATAAACACCAACATGAGACAGAAGCATGTTCCTATGACGATGGCGAAGGGCCAGAGGTAGACTTTGTAGTCAATGTCAGGGATACCGTCGTCAATGTTGATGAGGATGTTCTTGTTCTGGTAGGTGTATTCTGAGCCAAGGGTGATGCCATTGTGGTATCCCACAAATACTGAGGGGATGTTAATCTCATTGCCATCTGTAATGATGAACATTTATTAAAGGATGCACAGACATCAAGTGAGGTGGTGAGGTTAAATGTCTTGTTCAAGATTATTACACTTAAATAGCGACCTGCTTCACATATGTGTGGGTGTGGCTGCTTGTTCTAGTCCAGACAAATGTTGAGACACCATGATGTAGTTTTAACAAGGATACCTCACTCAGACACAGTATACTGACTCCGAGCCTGCCAGTCCTTGTTTCATTCTCTTTTAGCCGAGCGCCAGACAGGGTAACAACAAGTACCATTGTTAGGCTGTTTTGTTTATGAGGGACCCCCTCCATATGGTTGGTTGGTTTGTTGTTTTACGCCGCACTCAGCAATATTCCAGCTATGTGATGGCAGTCTGTAAATAATCGAGTCTGGACCAGACTATCCAGTGATTGATATCATGAGCATCGATCCAAGCAATTGGGATCGATGACATGCATCAACCAAGTCAGCAAGCCTGACCACCCGATTCCTGTTAGTCGCCTCTTACGACAAGCATAGTCACCTCTTGCGGCAAGCATGGGTTGCTGAAGACCTATTCTACCCCGGATCTTCACGGGTCCCCCTCCAGGTGGAGAACAAGAAGGATCTCGGAAGACTTCATTGAAGTTCACATTGTTTTACTTATTTTCATCAGATGACGACACAGACTGAACCTGAACAATACCAGTTAGATTCAACAATTAAAAATTAATTGTGACAGAAGAGACTTAAAAAACAGTTCAGCAGGAACAATTTTGAAAATATTAAATTCTTTCTAGAAATATGCTGGTGAGTATCCGTAGAGGACGTACATGCTCCAATCTGGTAGACATGACTACCCAACACTAACTAAACAGCAATCAGCCATGATTCTTTCCTCAACTATCATTCAATAAATCCACTCAATTTATACTAGTATAATTAAAAACAACTGTGTGAGTGGGTTGGGGCAATCTCATTAAAATCAGATCTTAGTTCCTGCTACCGCTAAACAAAGACCTGACGACATCCCAATAGGAGTCACGTCAGAAAAACCTTTCACCCGACCAATCAGAGCGTCGCTTACCAGATCATGAAAGTGAAAGTCATGAGTGTGATTTCTTATCATACAGCCTCGATAACTTTAAAACGGGGTATTCCGAACAATAGTTATGGGCTTAACGACTGAATCTATACAATCTAGACCATATATTAGCCATTCAAGAATGTTCTTTGGTTCAGGTTTCAAATTTTTAAGCGAGAATTTGTCAAAATATGTTTCGAAGCGTAGTCGCCAATTTGAATTTAGTGCCGTAAAGCATGAGAAAGCTGCCTTCTGATTGGCTAATGTCGACTTCTTGTCAGTAATTCCATTGGTCGGTCAGAGTTCGCGAAAGGTCGGTCTGACGTGACCAGTAATGGGGGTGTGTGTTGTTGTTGTTGTTGTTTCAAGAAAGGCATGCTTCCTTTTTTAGATTGGGGGATCTCAAGGCTATTCCATTTGATGATAAGGTAACACAAGGTTATTCCATTTGACTATAGGGGTGTTAGTACACTTACCACCTGGCATTCTAATAAGCTTGTCCCTTCCCTGTGAATTGTGGACAATAGCAACATTGTAACCTCTCTGCTGCACGTTATAAACCTGAAATATTCACACTGCATTCTTACACCATCTACCAACAAGGAATCTACCATCACCGTAGGAACAAGCACATTAGGACACCATCCAGAATACACCCAAATCAGAGATTTAGTGAGATGTATTCAAAATGGTCGCCTTTGTTAATGTAACCAAGGAAACCATGCAATCAGTTGCTACAGAAACAAACAATAACCATGGTGAAAGCTTAGTATCTCCATGGCGACACACCATGCAAATGACTTACATTTCCCTCCTCCCATTCTGACGAGTTCATCGTTGTTGAAGCTGTTTTGAACTATGGCCATATCAAACTGCGCTTGTTGCGCATGCAAAACCTGAAAATACACCAAACCATTTCTTCAATGGCCTCTTTTGGGGGACAGTCTTGTGATGTGTTTTAATCTCTATAAAATCAGATCTTTCACTCCCTTTCGGTACATCTCTTGATCCCGATCTGACAAAGCCTACGTTCTCAGCATCGTCAAGACACACAGACTAAGCAACAAGGAGGACATGCTTTGGAAAAAAAAGGGAACATCAAGCTTATTGGCAATGACTCAAGTTTTCAGACGTCAAGCTGAACAAAACAGTAACTCACACCGACATGATTCACTCAAGTGATTGAAAAAACCTGCTTCTAGTATAATAACATATCAGGAATATTCAATAAATACTGAATGGAAATGAAGGGAGATAACTCTATGTTAGTTCCACTAGAAAGGACAAAATGTTGAAAAGTCTGGTGTTTGTTGGTTTGCAGATGTTCTCTCTCCAATGTTACAGAAATGTCACAGTTTCCAGTCGCACAAACAATCAGAAAAATGTATTGAACGACTGAAAAAATATTTCTAAACAAAGTAATATTTTCACACCTTAACACACAAACATTTAACCAAATTAACGTCTTTGTATCCTGTAAAAAGTTGGACCAGCTTGATTATAAAATCCTGGGTTGTGATGAATGGTAGCGGTATTTCAAAACGTGTAACTGATCAAATGTATATCGGAAACTAAAATTCTTATACAAAGAGGATCCTTGTTCAATTGATAAAAAAGAAACTTGACGAGTTGTTTTTCAGTGTGAATTCTGTTTAAATAAGAAATGTGCGGAGAACAAACATAAATCATGTCATATTCAAAATCATTGTATTGACACATAGCTGATTCAAACAATGGTATCACCCAGAAGAGATATGTATGAGAAAGTAGTTCTAGTTTCATATACTGCTGAATTAGCAATGATTAGGACAGGTTGGTTATTATCAGCCATAACATTCTGTTTTTGTTCCTAGAATATACAATGCCTGTGAATATACATTGCAGGGAGGAAAATACAATGATAATCAATGCAAACAACCTATTTTTGGAGACACCAGAGAAATTGATATTCAGAGCTTCCATATCAATTATCATAGTCTGTGATGACACATTTTTGAAGTCAGAATGCTCAGGTACTCCAAGTCTTCATTGCAACCTTGTCACTCGGAGGTTTCAAAGGGCAGACATTCAAACTACTGCTGGGCCATGGCGGCCCAGTCTGTCCTATTCTAACTCACTCCGTGAACAGCCTGGATGCTAAACCATGAGCACGAGATTGTTCTTCACCTAGAAAGGAATGGCAAGCTTCAAATGACATATTGTTTTTGACAAATGTTTTTTTTTTAGAATAGTGAGTGAGTGAGTATGGTTATAGTCGCTTTTAGCAATATTCCAGCAATAGCACGACGCGGACACCAGAAATGGGCTTCACACATTGTACCCATGTCAGGAATCGAACCTGGGTCTTCGGCGTGACGAGCGAACGCTTTAACCACTAGGCAACCTTTTTTAGAATAGGTTTTGTTTACCGGAACAGGTTTATTATTCCTGGGTCACCCATAAAAATCTTGGAATGGTTTAACTTCTGCAAACAAAGTCAAACATACCTTTCTTCATGTTCTCAGAAAAAGTAAAATACCATACTCTGAACACAGGCCAGCAGCCATCCTTAAAGCTTGCTTACAAAGTTTCCTGACTACATCATGGGTATTCCTCCCATGCATGAGTGAGTGAGTGAGTGAGGTTTTACGCCACTTTTAGCAATAATCCAGCAATATCACGGCGGGGGACACCAGAAATGGGCTTCACACATTGTACCCATGTCGGGAATCGAACCCGGGTCTTCGGCATGACGAGCGAACGCTTTAACCACTAGGCTACCCGACCGCCCCCTCCCATGCATGAAAGGTTATCAATGAAATACCATTGTTTGAGAATCGGACATGTGGTTGACAGATGACACAACGAGCCAGCTCCAAACTAGCTCTATGGTGGACTTGACAAGGAAGTTCTGACCAAACAGTGTTAATACTTTGATAGGTTTTTATAAAGAAATCAGTTTTATAAATAAACAAACTTTGATGTTTTTCATCAGAAATTATTGTATCCAGTTGTAAAAAAAAAGATGTAAATGAAAAAGACTAAAATATCCTATGGCTAGGGTAGATATAGCCTGATATAGCAACATGTATGTTTTCCTGAAGTCCAGTCAACAACCTCAACATCATAATGTTTTCAAGACAGAAATAGGACACTTTCAATGTAGATGTTATATGTTATTTGACACCTCTAAATTGAAAACTTGACCCCTAATGGTACCAGTGAGTAAGTTGGGATTACTTTGAACCTTACACAACAGTCCACAATGATCCGACCCTCTCACAACAAGCATAAAAATGTGAGTTTTCGTTTAACGCCATATTTCAGTTGGAAGGAAAGGCCCAAGTGATTCAGGGCTTAGATGTGTACAACTTTGGAGAAACGCACGAGTACGAGTTTGGTGCTGACAAACCAAGAGTCTGGGGATTCAAATTATCGATCCTTGTATTTTGGGATCGGCACTGCATATGGAGGTTCCCTTACGCAGTTTAGACAACACATATTATTCAGAAACTAAAATGTCCTATATTTCATAGGCTTCAAGAAGACTATTTCAAAGCAAAGGTAGGTCTGCACAATACTGGAGAGGTGCTGGTTTGAGCTGTGCTTGGAAAGTTGGAAAGGAGGAGGGAATACCTTGTTAAAAAACTGAAAATTCAAACAAATAAACAGTGCTGCACAGTTTTCCTTTCCATCATCTACACTTCAAAAGAACAAAATGTCCAAAATATGTTGAAATGATTTTCACTGTTTCGCTCACTAAGAGATGGAAGATCTTTAACTCTTCTGGGAAAACTGTGCATTACAAGCAATAGTTTGCAATGGCTTCCAAAATATGACTTCTAAGGAATACTTAAATGAGAGACAAAGTAGATAAAATCAAGTTTACAAAACTTTGCACAGACAACATTTACATCATAAAAAGCAAAGACTAAGAAAAATCTTAAGAATATTAAAATTCAAAATCAAATTCAAACAGCTGTAGGTCTGGAATTACAATTATCATTACTGACTGAAATTACAAAATTAATCTCAGTAAACATGGTAAACAAAGAACACTTAACAGGATTTTAGAAAAGCAACATATAAAACACACATATTCAACAATTCATTAAATACTAGTCCTTATTTCTTCTCATACTATTAGATTAAACAAAAACATGGCGTGAAGGCTTTTACATCAATATGTAATTTCACACCATAGTCAGCTATGTCAAAACAGCCAGTACTGTGATCAAGCTTTGACCAAATCAGTGGTCGATAGTGTGAGCACTGATCCGCACCATCTGGTTACAATAACACAAAACCAGAGTTGGTCTGGCATGGTGGTCACAAAGTAAAGAAAGTATCAAAAAGGATGAGCTATTTTGTAAGGCCAGGGCTTGAAAGATCCATTAGTCCGTACGTATTGACGAGTGGCAGCATGTGCAGTGCGAGGAAGTAGTAAGGAAACACATATACTTCAATCGTATCAATTCATCTCTAAATTTACTCTAATAATTTTCAATTAGCTAATTTCAAACCTGAAATATGTTTTCATCTCTAGAAGCAATAACGAAATACATGTCACTCATATCATTAACACACTTGGCAACAGTCTGTTACAGAAATAAACAAGTGCGTTTGCACAGCACATATCAAAACTAGTTTTTAAAGGGAGATAACTGAAGTGAAACTATTGCACGACAAGTACAAAATATTATCTACTTGTCCTGCAAGACAATTTGAGTTGAAGACATTTTTCAAGCCCTGATTTCGGTGTACGTGGGTGCATGGACACGGGGAAGAGAACAGGTTGTTATGTGTGGTGGAAGGTTGAAGCACATTTTCTCAAAATATGATTTTTTTTGTCTGTTTTTCTATGTTACTGAAAACAAAAGTGAAAAGAGAAGACTACCATTAACAAACATCACTGGGCACACATTGAACCTGGCTCTGTACCACAATGTCAGAGCAGAGTGTGCTTTGAAATTCGGAACAGTTCTTTTTCATTGGCTAAAAGAAATACAACAGACACTCAGAATTTAAAGTGAAAAAACGTGTTGAAATCCAAGAAACGTCCCAAAAGATGCAACAAAGCTCTCTTACCAAGCTTAGAATTCTACTTTAGGATCACTTTTCATAGGGATAAGACTGAGATTTCAAATTTCTATATAAACATTCTTAAAAACTGACATTAAGCCAAAATGGAATGTTCTTCATGAAAATATCTGAAATTATGTTGAAATTATCAGTTACTTGGAGTTATTCTTCAATGAGTGAGTGAGTGAGAATGGTTTTACGCTGCTTTTAGCAATATTCCAGCAATATCACGGCGGGGAACACCAGAAATGGGCTTCACACATTGTACCCATGTCGGGAATCGAACCCGGGACTTTGGCGTGACAAGCGAACACATTAACCACTTGGCTACCCGACCGACCCTTATTCAATGACAAAATATATACAAGGTTCGATTGTATCTAAATCTAACATCAGTATAAACAACGCATTTCAAAGTTACATTATTTCAGAACATTCCACAATGAACAACTTTTCAACATTTTCTGTATCTGTTTTGGGACATATAGCTTTCTAAAAAAATACTACTGAAGAAATAACCTGGAATGGTATAAAGCTCACCTTGAGTGCGAAGTCGCAGTGATCCCTGGCGATGAGAGCGATCCACGCCACTCCGTCCTTTGGCATGTCTGGGGGAGGATCCACCGGCATGCATGCATTGCGTGGAGTTACATACATCAGTCGACCCTGTTAGGAGATTACAATGATTTTTGAACACAAGAGTCAACAAGTTTTTTACCGAAAAAAGACGATGAGAACCATACAAAACAATAACAGAATAATCTCCTTGCAACTCGGAAATACAGATTATCTGTTTCGAAACAACAATTTGCTTACCACGATGCCATTGGTTGGAAGGCTGGGCCCAAAAATGGCTTCCATATCTTCGAAGATGACAATCGTCTTATTCTGTTTGATGTCCAGCTGTCAAACACAAAAATGGAGGAGTGACTAAATTTGGTTTGATGCCACTTTATATTTCAGTAATGTCACAGTGTGTCAGCTTCATGTGGGAGGAACGCCCTACAAGATGATGGCCTTAGAAATTTATCACTTGTGTGAAACCCACAAGCACTGGGTCTGGTGCTGACAAACATATTTAGGATGAATCTGAGACTCCAAATCATAATCCTTTATTTCTAGTCGCCTAAGGTACACAACTCTTGCGGTGCCTTAGTAGACTGGGCCACTCATACGCCTCACTCTTCCCTTTGGAGTCTTTGACTCTCCTACTGTCATTACAAGTATTCTGAAATCAGGAAATCAGATTAGTTTTAACAAAAGTTGCCATAGCAACCACAACTTACGACAGTGACTTCACCGCTGACGAGTGAGACGTTGAGCATTGCAAACAGGTTGAGTACAGTGAAGATGTACAGCCCGGTGATATGCCCCGGGATTGGGCGGTCCACCAACATGATGGGAGCTCACCTGTAACAGACATGACAACAATTAATATCATTACAATCATCATGATCATAGTAATAAGTTACTCGTCACACAAAAGACCCAGGTCTCATTCTTCACAAGGGAAATAATTATTAGCTTCAATCAAAATTTCTAGATTCCATAACTATTAAGAACAAGTTGTCCTTATCTAGACTTGCCTATTCTAAGGATAGAATTACTACACATACAAAGACTTATCCTTTAGTACAGCCTTGGAGCAAGGCTACCAACAAGGTTGCATTGTGTAAAGCCCATTCCTGGTGTCCCCCATTCCCCAACAATGTGATATTTGTGGAACATTGGTAAAAGGGGTGTTAAATAATATTTTATCACTCATTACCAAGCTGTCGATGAGTAAGTGAATACTAGACAAGAAATAACAGCTACACCCTTTAAACAGGTTCAATGGGAGTCCTCGGACCATGGAAGATGGTTGTATTGAGGTTACAACCAGCGCAGTGCCTATATTTGGACACAGTGCTGATAAGGATTCTGCAGGAACGAGAAAGTTACATTGTCGTCAATGAAGCTCAATGGACGTTCTAGTAAAGGAAATGTCATTGTGTTTCATCCTACTTTCATGCCATTCTGTAAATAATCAAGTCTCGGAGACTATCAAACCAATGGTTGACAGCATGAGGAACAATGAGCTAAACATATGTTTTTTTAGATTTCCAGGTGCAATTGACTAACAATAAATATCAATCAAAACCAATGTAAAGCATGAAGGATGTCATTGAAACCCCACTTTAGAGATTATTTATATCAAGTTTCATTGAATTCCAATAATACAAACCAAGATATTGTGTACCCAAGCTCTTATAACGCCAATCTCATTAAAATCAGATCTTAGTTCTCGTTACTGCTAAACAAAGACCTGAGGTCATCCGATTACAGGTCACGTCAGACCAACCTTGCGCGAACTTTGACCGACTAATGGAATGACCAATTAGAAGGCAGCTTTCTCGTGCTTAACGGCACTTATTTCAAATTAGCAACTACGCTTCAGACATATTTGGGCAAATTCTCTATAACAAATTTGAAACCTGAACAAAAAAACATTCTGGAATGGCTAATACATGGTCTAGATTGTAAGGATTCAGTCATTAAACCCGTAACTATCGTTCGGAATACCCCATGTTTAACTTATCGAGGTTGCATGATTAGAAATCACATTCCGACTGTCACTTTCATAATCTGGTAAGCGATGCTCTGATTGGTCGGATGAAAGGTCGTTCCGACGTGAGCCCTAATGGGATGTCTTCAGATCTTTGTTTAGCGGTAGCGAGAACTAAGGTCTGATTTTAATGAGATTGTTATAACGCCTAATTCGCACTGATTGATCTTCAATGTCATCCAATCACACCTTAGGAAACTCAGCATCATCAGGTACAAACATGAAGACCACGATCAGCCTGATCTGAGAACACATTAAGGAAACCCCTACATAAGCAGCAGCTTAATGAATCTTGGAGTGAAAATAAAGGATAGTGATCAACAGGATCAAGAAAATGATCAATGTCTGTGAAAAGACTAGAAGAGTTCAGGCTTGAAATCCTATTTCATAAACATGTTATTTCAACCAATCTGACAGCAGCATTCACTCCATTTCATGTCAACAATTACACACGAACAGATTATATCCTAACTATCTGGGCCCGTTCCACAAATGATCCTAGCACTACAACTAGGGCAGGTCACGATACGATAGGCATCTCGATATTCTGGTCACGATACGATACGTATCTCGATACGCAATGATGAAAAACCTTAATGCATGTCAAGATTGAACCTTTCAAATTATTTATAATAACAAGACTACTGAAGTTGTTCAGCTTCAAAGCGGAACTTTCTCTAATTTTCCTTCAAAACAATTCAAGGTTCAAACACCAGAAAATAATTAATGTACTCCACCAGTGATACAACTTCAAACAATTTTGATGCAATGGTCAAAGAAATTGTATCTGAAATTATTGTTTTATCAGGAATAATAAATTCCAATATCGTATTACCTTAGTTGCAGCTTTTACTATATATAAATTTTTATATTTAAAATTATAAGAACCTCAAGCGTAGCATTTTGGTACTGGTGATTGCTGTTGCAGGATATTTTTAGGTATGGAACAATTTGACCAGTCACCCTTGGGATTTCCCGTGCTACATGTATTTCGATTGCGAAAACGTTATGTTGACATTTTAGCAAAATTGCCAAATTGCCACAAATATGACTTTTAACGAGTCAAAGTATGGCATTTTTAATATATGTATCCATTCTCTAGCAACTAAAGTTCGTTTCAATGCGTCAAAATCGGTAATCTGACCGTGGTTGCTGTATCTCTTCACACACGATTTCACCTAACTTAATGAAAACAATATTAAATGAAATTTTGAATAAAATTAATAAAATATATTACAAACACAAGTCCAGATATACAATGAACATGTTTTAATAACAAGATAGTATGATAATGGTATTGAATTGCAGACTTCAGTTCGGATTTGCTGACTGGTATTTTCGGTTTTATGTGCTTGCCGTAATCAGCTGATAATGTTTTTTGAGATGGGGAAAAATATCTGTCGGTGTAAAACCTGAGCTTATTAAAAATGTAAGTACGTTTTTGGGAGCCATGCGTTACCACGCGCTATAACCAAGTTAGCGGTTTATTGAAAGGCACAATAGCGAGGAAACGCTGTACTTGAAATTTGCGTTCCGTATCGTGGCATATCGATAAATGGGCCCACGTTTATCGTATATCATATCGTGGGTCAAGTATCGCGATGCATCGGAATATCGGTGTATTGTTTCACCCTTAACTACAACAGTTGTAGTTTATGTTAAAGTTTAGGAGATATATGATCACCTTAGCGCTAAAATTGCTTTATGGAATGAATACTGTAGCTAACACTTGGGAGCTTCTCTGCCCTGGAACCCCCCTGGGGTATATCAGTAATAAGATTTGTCCACGTCATGTCACAAGCTTGTTACTGATGGCACATCTGCTTGGCTTGACGGCCTGTACCTGACAAGGCGATCAGCCCATCCAGCCCATGCCTGAAAATTGGGAGACAGCAGGACAGAGATGAGTTCCAAAACTGTTTATTAAAACTGATATTTCATTCTGACAGCCTATGAATACAATACCATATCATTATACTAATACAGTCTACCTATATAAACCCGTAATGGCAACATATATACAGGTGAACCCATACAAGCCATCTGTGATCTCGAATAATGACTGATCTTGAATGAGAATAGAAAAATCACACAATGGGAGTCTCCATCCACAGCGTCAGCACCATATAAATGGAATGTGTGATTGAGCATTAACGCTTCTTGGAACAGTATTTCAGTTATATCACAGCATCACTTCCAAACAAATCTGTTGCGATGAATATATCTGTGGGTATACATCATAAGAGAATGGACAGTCATAGAAACGAACAGTTTTAGCCTACTAGTCCTTATAATGACCATAGAGCAAAAAAAACCTAAAAAGGCAAATTTCTTCTAGTCCTATGATACTTTAACTATTGGGCAGATTGGCAAGGATTTAGTCCTTGCACCAATTTCTACCACTGATGGAAATATGATACATTGGATATCTGAGGATGAAGAGTTTCCTGGTTGTAGAGGTGTTTATGTTGTACAGTTCACTGATAGAAATATTTTCAGTCCATTAGTCCATGATACCTTAACTATTGGGCAGTTTGGCAAGGACTACAGGACCAGAGCAAATTTCTATTGCTTCAGTTGAGAATAGTAAAACGTTGACATTAAAACACAGTAAAACATTTTACTACACACATATACTCAGCAACACAAACACATCTACCTGGTACCTACTGGAAACACTGCATCCTGGATTATCCATGGTATTTCACCTCCATTCTATTGACACAGACCCCAGATCAGTTCACCACGTCACTCGCTCCTTCTAATCCCCAACAGCCCCGAATGTCTCACAAGCAATCACCCGTGAAGATCCAGGTAGAGCATAGGTCATTAGCAACGCATGCTTGACGTAAAAGGCCACTAGGCTTGTCATAAGAGGCAACTAACAGGATCGGGTAATCAGGCTCTCTGACTTTGTTAATGCATGCCATTGTATCCCAATTGCGTAGATCGATGCTCATGAAGACAATCACTGGATTGTCTGGTCCAGACTCAATTATTTACAGACCGCTGTCATATAGCTGGAATATTGTGGAGTGTGGCGTCACACAACAAACAAACAAACAGCACCCAATCAAAATAACTCTCCTGCAGGCCTCAAAGTTAGTTTTTTTAATCAAGTAGCCATATGGCTACAAGTATTTTTTTCCAGGTAGCCAGTGGTAAAATCAAGAAGCCAAGCCAATATTGTAGGTAGCCAAAAGCATTTTTGCAAGTTATAGCATTAGTCTTGGAATTGTTTTTTAGTGGTATCTGTACCTGATTTTTGTTACTAATGACTCAATGATACAATTTATGTTACGAGATTATATAGGCATATCCTTGCTTATCCAATGAGCATTGTCAACTAAACTAAAGTACTAATTACGTTAATATTTATGTATTTCTGTTCCTTGTTGACTTTAGGAAGAACTATTTGAGAGTACAATTATAAGCAGATGTGTTTTCCAACATGTCCAAGATCAACTGTTATTTTTTTTTGTGTCTACAGATGTGTAGAAATAGAATTTAGTCACCACTTGATATTTTTCAAGGTAGTCATTTGGCTACCTCTGAATTTTAGACAGTTGACAAACTAAAATTAGGTCGTATTGGCGACACTTTTAGTCGCAACTTTGAGATCTGTCCTGAAAGGCTCAGACCTACTTTCAAAATTGCTGCCTTGTGCACGCAAGCCCTCAGAAGGATGTTTAGTGGGAAAAGATGTTTTCCGAGTACTAAGAGTGAAAGACAGGGAAGCAGTTCCATACGCCACACAACTCCAGTTGAGACAGCACCCACAAGTTGAGTCTCGTGACTGGTGTTCCATGACTTGTCAATCAGGAAACAAGCGTTACTTAAGTGGAAGTAATTTTGAAGCACCATGTATACATTCGACGTCATACCTTTAATACCAGTTCTAAACTGGTATTAAAGGTATGACGTCGAATGAATACCTGTATTTAGAACAGATTGTAGATATAATACCACCGCTAATCAACACTACAACAGCAAGAAGCCTTGAAACCTTTAGACTATTGTGTTTTTACATGTTACACATGAACTAATAGAATTGGAAAATAATCAGTAGAAATCTCAGGGTTTAAAACTAACCTCAAAAGCCATACTAGCTCAGGCAATGATAAAATGCCCTTGTCATGTTAAAACAATGAGGAAATTTGTACCAGCCCACAGAAATTTGTATTTGCCCCGGGCTAGCACGCTAGTGTTAAGTTCTAACCCTGAATCTTACTAAACTACATGAATGTATCGGTAGTTTATTCCGTTTGTTGACACTTGATTTCCGGTATACATGCTGGATGTTTTGTTTACCCATGGGGGGAAAAATACCTGAAATCTTATGTTGGCGTGTATAATGCGCACCCCCCCTCTGCGCGGTTTCAAGTTCTGAAAAAAAAGTGCGCACTATACACAAGAAAATACGGTACTCAGGCCCTCCCGTCTGTCCCCCGTCTTGTTCAAGCGAAGCGCTGATGAGAAGACAGTGAGTGGATCAGGGACAGATAACTCCTGTTGGTAACCAAGGGCTGGGGGCACCCAGGAGGAAGAAGAGGCTTGGTTTGAGTTTTGGGTTATAGGATCAAAGTCCAGAAAGAAATTGCAATGTGTTGTGTCAGGATTAGAAAAAATCCCAGTCTACAGACAAGTGGCTGAACATGCTGAAGTGATGGACTGCACCTGCGACCAGAGTTAATAAACAACACATTATCTTATCATCAGCTGATTTGCCTCGTCCTACTTCACCATGAAACCAAGAAAACACCTGTAATAACCATGATAACATTACACAAACATGACTGTCATCATGATTTCCATATACTCACTCTCAAACCACGAGCTGAGACACAATGTGTTTCACTGTCCAAGTCAAACTCCCTTCCCTAAACTAGGCAACTATGAGTCATGCGTGAAGACTTCTTGTGTCATGTGATATCATTATTTATACACTTCCTTTCTCACTTGTAAATATCATGCACTGCTAAAGCAATCGTTACACTGCAGAGCAAACAAATGAATGAACTCAACAGGATTTATTCAGTGACTAGAATGCCTTACTTATTAAGAAATGTACAGTGTGTATGGAGGCAGTGCCGAGAATCGTGGAGACTACCGGTTCCATCATGGTTCATGTTCTGTAGAAGTTAGTGTGATTGTATAATATGGATTATAACTATACCACAGAGAGTAGTACTAGACTCCAGCAGAAGAAAATAACAGTTTTAGTCCACTAGTCCCTATAATGATAACATTTAGCAAAACCCTTAAAAAGGGCAAATTTCTACTCGTCCTTAGGATACCTTAACTATTGGACATTTTGGGAAGGACTATAGGACTAGTGCAAATTTCTAACACTGGACTCGGACTTTGGATTAGTGGATTTAGTCCCAGATGGAGTATGTATGACTGAACTCAGGGTCTTGGCATGAGTGTGATGTTAAGAGTCAGGGCGTTAATGGGGGGGGGGGGGGGGGGGGAAGTTGGGTTTAACGCTGCTTTGAACAATATGTTAGATATATCAAAGTGGATCAGCTTATGAAAGCCCAAAGTGAAGCAGGCTCAGACGTTTATCACTCTGTGAAACCAACAAGTATGGGTATGGTGCTGACACACCTTGAAACATGGTGTGATGTTAGAAGGCCTTAACAATGGTAACCATTTGGTTACCCAACTTCCTTCTAAAGAAAGAACACAAAACTAAACCTACACTTAATCTGAAATGATTCAGCATGATTCAATGAGCTACTTGTTAACCAGTTATACATGATAAACATGGTGCACACTTTCAGTGAGAAAGAGAGAGTATGGTTTTACACCGCTTTCAGCTATATTGCAGCAATATCACAAGAGACACCAGAAATGGGCTTCACACATTGTACCTATGTGGGGAATCGAACTTGGGTCTTTAGCGCGACGAGCGAATGCTTTATCCACTAGGCTACACTTTCAGAATAATTCTTCAAGTAATCCAAATTATGGTAAGCATGGTAACAAGAAATCCATACAAAAATAATTTGGCATATAAATGGTCAAGTTACACATGTTACAATGATACTGCCTGTAAAGCCAGTCAATACCAATCAGTATAACTACTGACATCAAACAGTATAACCTACCCTTCAAAAGTCAGCCATCCAATATTACAACAAACTTGTGAAACCATCACAGACAGATCATGAGACATGAAGACATATCACGATCTGCAATCATATCCTTTTACTAATCCCCACCAGCTGATCACGGACATCCGTTAGAGCAGTGCAGAAGTCTCTGGGTCAAAGGTCAGCTGATATGACAAGCTGATTTCAGCCAATGTCAAGAGATGAGATAAACTTGTAGACAGCTCGATTTCATCACTATTATCATATTTATGTACCGTACAGCGATTAAATATATATATATATATATATATTGCTAACTATATTAACTGATAATGATTTAATTTGGGACAAAGAACAATCCTGAATCATTGCTTCCTTGACTATCCATTGTCTTACATCTTTCATTAACATGATTATGAATAATCTCCTGGACCCAATCACTATAATAGCTTCGCATGCCAAGTTAAAGATTCGAGCGATGGAGGTGGGTCGTCACTTCTGAAATGAAGTTATAGTTGTGAATGAATCCAGGGTATATATCACAGTGTTCCCGTTTACCGGCAATTACCAGTTTTTTACCGGTAAAATTAAGCTTGGACCGGTAATTCATGTTACTGCCAGTCCCTGTGGACCGGCAAATATAGCATCTTATAAACCTTTGTTGTTGAACAAAACATTGACGATATTCAAATAAGTATATATTTCGAACAAAGTCAAGTTGTCAGTTGACTTCTTGGTTCCCCTTGTCTGTTTTTAGTGCTATTAAATAACATTTCGCTTTGCTTGAAGGTTAAATATATATTTGCAGTGATTTAGTCTTGAAATATTATACAAAACAAGAGAATGGAAAGAATTAAAACCAGTTGATTTTCATGGTTTTTTTCATTTGTTGAAAGTTGGGACTGACAAAAATTAGGGGGAACTGGTAATTTTTAGAGTTGCCAGTCGTGGTGGACTGGCAGTTTCAACAGCCAGCAGGAACACTGTATCATAATAGAATGTAGATATAACACACTGGCTAGGTGAGGTGACGTGACATGGGGTTTAATGTCGCGTTCAAGATTATTGCACTTATATTGCGACATGCATGCACATGTGTGTGTGTGGCTGCTTGTACAAGCCAATTTTATAGAGCAAGCCCACTAAGATTCTATACCCTTTAACATAAATACCCCATTCAGACACAGTATACTGACTCTGAGATGACCAGTCCTTGTTTTAGTCTCGTAATGCCGAGCACCAGGCAGTACCATCTTTAACATGTTTTGGAATGACACAGCCACACGATCGAACCCCGACCTTCTGCTCTCCGGGTGGATGCACTACCACCAGACCACGGAGGCGGACACTGGATAGTCTAAGGTATCTACACTAAAGGAGAAAACTTGGTGTTTGCTTCAACATGCTTGAAGTGTTTGTTTGTTGTATAATGCCACACTCAGCAACATCCCAGTTGTATGACGGTAGTAATTAACAATCAAGGCTGCACCAGACAATCCAGTGATTAATCAAATATTAGCAGCAAGGCGTGTGAAGACATGCAATCAACCAAGGCACCAAGCCTCGTACAACAAACATGGGGATGGCCTATTCTAACTCCCCACAGGGTAGCAACAACTCTTTCCAGCGAGAGAAACTAACCTTTTTAGCCCACTAGTTCTTAATGACTTATAATGATAACATGTAGCAAAACCCTTAAGATGACATTGACAAATTTCTACTAGTCCTATGATACCTTAACTATTGGGCAGTTTGGCAAGGACCACAGGACCAGTGCCAATTTCTGACGCAGTGTGGGTCTAAGAAAATGATCGAGGTGCTAAGTAATTATTCATGGTTTTAGCAAATTTGGACACTACATCCTTCTATAGCATAACCAAATTTGAAAATAGCTTCAAAATAGTGCCAGTTTCTAACGCTGTCTTTCCAGAGTGACTTCCAACACTGTAGTCAGTGAAGCAGTCCATACCAAAGTGGCAAAGTCACAGAGAGCCATATATACATGAATAAATCTGGTGAAACATGAACATATCCTCCCAATGTCTCAGCCTGCCCACCCTCCACGGCAGGAGCAATACACCAAACTCATGACACTAGGTTGAAAGGTCACACACATAGTTCTCCCGCCAGTCTTCATAGAGACCAACATCAAGTCTCAATGAGGATATAAACATGATCCTGATTATGTGTCTTCAGATTTGTGGGAGTTATTCAGTATTCGATGCCCTGAAATTTCACTGGAAACCAAATGTCACATACGGAATGTGAGGACATCATGAAAGAATGCTTCTGTGATAACTGAAATTGCCTGGTCGGCAGAATGTGGAAGAAACTCACCAAATTGAAGTTGTTTAGATTCATATTGACGAAACATATTATGTAAATTTTGTGGTATCCAGTTCGCAAAGCCATGTTAGCGGTATTTAAAGATTTAAAGAACTACATATAGCTTGCACCTGGTGCATGTTGACATCGAAACCTTGTTGCACTAGACAAACAAGGTTACACTAGCACGGTACCTATGAACTACATATGCTTATAATAGGGAAAATAAATCAACGATCAGTGCCATGTTTATAGTTTAGCTACTGGTATAAATAGCAAACGATGGAAACTGGGACATGATTGTCATTAATTAGATCATATTTATAACCCAGCTGTCACGTTAATCACAATTGAATGTCATTGTCACAATCATCATCCCCGCTCCATGCAGACTCTTCAGCTCCTTGTCAACCAGACATGCAACCAAAACATGTAAAGATAGTACTTGTTGTTACCCTGCCTGGCATCGGCATAAGGGACAAAAATGAGGACTGTCAGCTAGAAGTCAGTATGCTGTGTCTGAGTGGGGTATTCATGTTAAAATGTGGCATGGTATCTCAGTGGGCTAGCACTATAAAATTGGCATAAGTCCTGACTAGTACAAGCAGCCACACATTCACACGTCGCTATATAAGTGCAATAATCTTGAATGTGACGTAAAACCCATTTTCACCTCACCTTGTAACGTGCCATCTATAGATCATAGTCATCCACAACTGCAGGCTCAGGGTTTGTTCACTTTGTGTATTACCTTACATTCCTAAAACCAAAACGGTGCACCATTTACTGATTTAGTACCAGGTTCAACACAAGCGTCATGTGATAGCCAGCTGGTCTGCTGTCAGAATGAGTAATGACGTATTACTGCAAAACGTCATACGTATACATACACATAACGGTGAAGTACCCATAGTTTGATGACGAACAATGTCAACAATGTCAACAAACAACGACAAAATTACACATAACTCCGGGAATGGTGATGTAATTTTGTAAATGAGCACCGAGTTCAAAGATCGATGTTCTACAGAAATACTTGCTTTTTAGGTCAGTCACAAATCTGTACAATTTTGACATGCACCCAAATAAATAAGTTGCCCTTTTCAATAACAGGGTAGGCTAGAACTTTTATGGGATTAAATCAAGCTGTGGCACATTTGTCAAGTTTGAGATTGCATATTTTTTCTCAAAGAAAATAATTCATCCTGTTCACATGCAGCGAAATGTCTGAAAGATTTCAAAGCTTCAAATCCCATTTAAAAATATTTTTCAACCAACCAGATTTTCAGCATACACTCCCATTCATTTCACAATCGGATGTCATCTTTTGTTCTCCTAGGACAAATGACAGTTGTCTCCAACAACATGTTGTGCCACTGTAATAATTGACATTGTGCAGAAGTGATTTAACTGCCACTGTGATATGCTTTATATTAGTCAAGAGCACAATGGAGAAACTATTCAGTTCATCAGTTACCATGGAAACCAACCCAGAACTTAATTGGCAAGATTTGTCATGACATGTTGTACTATATCCTGATATCAAGCCTGACTGTAGATCTGGCAACCCCTTATCTTCAATCATTACAGATTTGAAATTGCCATTACTGATGCCTGTGTACATTAATATTTACAGATCGACAAGTGAGATAGTCATGGATCTATGACCTTGGCCCAGTGACCTTGAATCATGATAATACAGTACTACCAAAAATGAAAAAAAAAAAAGTCCTTCAATTTGTAATGATCAGACAAAGTCAGCGTACTATTCCAAAAATCCATCTCAACATGCAGTATTAAGCATGAAATTGACTATGGGTGTCACGATACAGGTACCTCACGATGCGATATGTATCTCAATGTTGAGGTCAAGATACGATATGTATCTCGATACAGCAATACCGACCTTTTATGCATAAATTTAGAAGCAAACATTTTACTTACATATCACATTCACAATTATGTGTTCTAATCACTATCATTCTTTTGCAAAATAATAATACTTAGAAAAGGTTGATTCTGTTTATTCAATTAAGTATCAGAAACTAAAAAGTTTTCATATGTGTCAAATTCAGAAAATATGATGACATTTCGATTAGAAAAGAAAAATCAATTAATATGCGAACAAATGGATACCGATTTCAATAAAATTTCGTATCATATAAATTTAAATGTATCTCATATCGTATCGTGAGATGCATCGGTACAATCGGTGAATCAGGACATCACTTAAATTCACAGGGGCTTCATAATCACAACTTTCCAAAGCAAGGGAGATAACTGGCTGCAAAAGTCCAATTTTCACCCTTGCCAAACTAAGCTGGAATTAAGAAGTTATATTTTGGCTGGACTAATGTGTCTATGCATAGTCCAATCAAAATCGCGTAACGTAATTGACCCCAGTTCGTAAGCTACAGTACAGAATTTGGTCGATTGCAGGATTTGAAAAGCATGTGTACTGCCAACTTGGCGTGAACAGATATTTTCCAAATCTTTTCATGTTTTTAATCACGGTGCTCACATGATTTGATGCCCTTCACCACTTAATAACCATATAGATTTGGATTATCGATCAGATCGCCTTGACTGGGTGCCTCTTGTTTGAAGCAAATGTGATATGAGAGGTGGAATCTGATTGGCCAATAGGAGGGACATAGCAGGGACATAACTTGTAACCAGAAATTCCAGTCTAGTTCAGCAAAGGTGGAACTGGACGTTTACAGTCAGTTAACTCCCTTGACTCGGGAAGATGCATTATCATGGTGAAAACTCAAATGTGTCATGAGCAAGCATCTTAAATGCTAACACTAGGTATG